AGTGGGTGGTAAGGGAGGGGGTGGGGGCAGGGGGGAGAAATGAACCAAGGCTTGTATGCACATATGAATAATAAAAGAAAAATGAAAAAAAAAAAAGCAAAACTTCTCCAAAGAAAAAAAAATTTTGTATAATGCAAGAGATCAAAAATAAATAAATAAATAAATAAAAATAAACTATTAATGATAAAATTTACTGTAATTTATAAAATGATATAGAACTGTGGATTTTGATGAATAAAGATCATATTTGTGGTATTTTTTATGTTCCAGCACAGACACTAGGCAAATATGAACTGCAGAGAACAAACAACGAGGCCAATAGCTCCCCTCGCTGAATTATAAAACAGGACTTGCAATAAACGTACAAATAAGGAAGGCTGGAAAAGAAACCAGTGTGCTCTCAGATCACAAAAAAGAAATTCCATTTCTCTTCTGATACATCTATTCTTTCTTCCCAAACAAACTTTCATGATGATAGTTAATTGAGCTAGCATATTATGCCAGAATATTCTGCTCATGCCAATAAATAATAACCCATCTTGAAAGTTCATATTTTAGATTTAATAAGCCATCCTTGAGGTATGTTAGCAGCTTGGTTCCATTTGACAAAAGTCACGGAGATCTTGGTCATATTTCCATGTGTGTAACTAAGTAACCAAATATTCTACAATATAATGAGCAGGGAATCAATGTGCTTACAGTGGAGCAAGGATTCCTCATATACGACATGCTTTGTGTCATAAACCTGACTGCTTTGTATCCACAGTTCTGAAATAAACTCCTGAAACTATGTCTATGGCTTAATTTCAAGCCTTAGGAAAAACACTGGTAAAAATATCACTGCCACAACATCCATTATTTCACACTAACCTAGTCCATAAACATCAAGGATAAGAATAACGTGAGAACTCTACTTTATTTCAATGGTGTTGACTTAAAGAAAACATCTTTAGCAACAAGAAAAACATTTACCTGTTCTTTAATTATCGTTAATTCAGAAACAATATTTTTTACACTGCTGTCCCGATCTTTTTTATCCTTTCCAAATGCTGGGTTATGTAAATTGACCTCTTTCATTGCTAGAAGATTTTGACCACTACGCTTTCTAACCTAAAATAAGGAAGACAAAATATAAATAAAGGAATGGGATGAGAGTTGAAAGGGTAAGAAAGGGCTAGATTAACAAAGTCACATGATTAACCATGTCATCTAAATAAGTCGCAGAGCATTTATAAATTCTGTGTTTACACTAAACTCAGCTTTAAAAATCCTATCATTTTGGCCAATACAGAAGCAATGGTATGAATTTAGAGAATGTATCATGCATTGGGACAAGCTATTTTGACTATTTTTTGTGAGAGATTAATGATGTCTTTTCTCTTATAAAGTCAATGGCCAATTATTAGAGCTGCTAGCTAAGACAACATCTTTCTTACTGACACAGAAATAATCATCGTAGCGTTTATATTTATTCTTATTTTTCAGTGTCACAGACTACAAATTGAGCATAAAGAACTTAAAGTGAACATGGGTATGCAAGTGTGATATCTGGTTAGTTTGGGAATATCAAAAACAATCCCCAAGGGCAAAGTCACCTTATAAACACAGCCAAATGCTCCACTTCCAAGATGATCCAAAATTGCATAGTTGCCTATATATTTCGAAGGTGCTTTGTTCTGATTAATGCTTTCAATATTTTCAGCAATTTGCTTCAGCTCATCCTCCTAAATAAATAAGAATAAGGAAATGGGTTATTATGATAAAAAAAACTCTATCCTGACCACATAGAAACCTGCCAAAATATTTAAAATTCAGAACTTACCACTAATACATTCAACTTTGATACCAACTTTTCATAAGCACTGATATCACGAACATAATGTCCTATGTCAATGAAGATCTCAAACAAGTCGGTAGGGAAAAGTCTATGGGAAAAAAATACACACACTTAATCAAGAACTTGGAAACTGTTGATCACTACTTCCTTTCGGAGGTACCTCATTCACAAATTATATGACACAAACTTAGGTTATCAACAAACAACAGGGGATAATTTTCTCCAAACTTATGCTGGAAAATTAAACCATAGCAATATTTTTGAAAGATTAAGAAAAAAGCAAATGAAGAGATCTACTAAAGATTTGCTATACAACACTGTGGTTATAGTTAATAAAACTGCACTGTACACTTAAAATTTTGTTAAGAGGATAGATCTCACATTAGATAGTTTTACCACAATAAAAACAGACACAATGCAGATTATACAATGACCTTATTTGTAATATATTTGGGGATACAGATATTAAACATTCTAGAGAGGAATATTTGTTGGGTATTTATTGAGTGCTGAGCACGTTTATAAATGCCGTTGGATGAAGTACTTGCTTTAATTCTAGAAGGTAAATATTAATTTGGCTTTTAATATTTTATAAAATTAAGATAAAAACACAGATAAATGAGAAAATGGGAAGAATTATGCATCACTTCCAAGATACTAATTTTAAGAGATTCTTAAAATGTTTGAGTTCACTAAAAATGGATGGTTTATGGTCCTGAAATGAGTGCTTACAATGAATAACTAATTTTTCTCTTTTCCACTCAATTTAAATGTCATAGGAAAATAAACAACTTAAAATATTCCATGCTTTCTAAATAAAGAAATTAAGCCAAGACTTTCCTTATCAATGAGATTCTGGTAAGAACAAAGGCCTATGATTTTGGCTAAATGATGTACAGACCACACCATGGGTAACTGGATGTCTGCCTTCCAAGATGGCAGCTTTTCCCTCACACCACTGCAGCCCCCTTCAAATGGGTTCCACCCTATCTCAAGTAACAGGAAAAACACTTGGTTTTACTGTTCATAAGGGAAAATTACCAGACTAATTTTAGAGTTTCTGAATGGACAAAAACAAGTATATATATTGATGCCATTCATTGAAGATGTTAATATCTTTAATTTAAAAAAAACAAAACATAACAACTAAATCCGTGGTGATTACATGGTCTGTGAGAGAGTGATACTGATAAGTGATTTCTCAGTAATTTCTGCCACCATTTTATTCATTTTCAGCACTGAGATATGGCCACAGTATCTCAGATACATCTGTGGTGTGTAGGAAGTCTGAAGAGGCATGGCTTGCACACAAGTCCATTCTTTTCTTCCTGTCACCTCTGACTCAGTTATGTGAAAACAGCACAGTCCAATGGTGCCTTGAATCTAATCATTTGTATTCCCCATCGAAACAAACATCGAAAAGCTCCTACCGTTTAAAAAGTGGTCTGTTTCTTTCCATACTGAAGAGAAACCTCAAGGCTCTGAAAGCGTAACACTAGGAAACAAAAGAGAATGTCTTTCTTTAGACTTTCAACAAACTAAAACATATTCAGGGCACAATTAATATGATGTAGATGCTAAAATGATTTATTGCGAGTGATTGGCCTAAGTTGGAGCCCTAGTTCATAACTGAAAACAAAAAAACACCCTTCCTTGAGGTGGTTTTCTCATATTTAAAGGGTGCCAATGTAGCATGCATGGCCTTATTTTACTGGTGCTTGTCATTAATTGCTTTCTAGAAAGTACAAAATGAGCACAGAGACAAGACATAAAATTCCTACGCAGAGAAAGCCAAACATCGAAAAGTTTCCAGGAGCTCAAGGTTTATTTTGTTCCTGGCCTGCTATGAATGCCTCAATATTTATATAGTTTCTGTGAGAAAATAAACACTAGAAATGATGACATATAAAAACAGCCACAAGCACACTGGACTCAAACTTGACAAACTGGTCTCTTGAGTAAAAAAGTCTTAAGCATTCCCCAAATAGAACGATCAACAGTAACTCCCTAGAACACTCAGAAACAGGCCTGTGAGGCTTTATCTAAGAAAAACAAATGTCTGGCATTTTGCAATGCTAAGAGAGAAAAAGAGGGAGACACACAGAGAGAGAGAGAGAGAGAGAAGAAGGAGAGGGCAAACGCACAGGTTCACCTGTGCCCCCCACAGGTCTCCAGTGTAGGGATTGGGGTCTTCCAAGTTTGGCCTGGGATAATTTAATAAGATTAGTGATCTGAAAATAGAAGGCACAAGAAAAAATTGCCCAGAAAGCCAGGCCAATAACAAAATGACAGGAGGGGGCCTGATGAAGGAGCAGAGGCAACAGCAGAAAACTACATGTTCCTTAAAATGCATTCCATTTGGAAGTCTCTTTTCTGGCTTAGCAAAATGCATCTGCAGGATGGCTCTGGTTTTGTCTTTTTCTCTGAAACCCCACTGCCCGCTAGCACACAGATACCACTAAGAGCCTCTCCACTGGCTCTGGCCTAGGTTCTGATGAGATGAATGAGAGCTCTTTTTTAATGTTCTTATTTCCAACTTATTTATAAAAACATAAAATTTGTACACATTTATGGAGTAGCATGTGATATTTTGATACATGTACACATTGTATAATGTTTAAGTAAGATTAAGCGTAGATATCTTGTCAAATATTTATCATTAAGATAGTCTCTAAGTGACTTAAAAAAATGGATGAGCTGCAAAGGCATCCTTTATATCTGCTTTATACTCTCCAGCTTCCACCTTGCATGGGATCAGCACCCTTCCACTTGCAGCAGATGACACTTGGTAAGTCCCTTCCTACCCACCAAGACCCATTTTACAGAGTTTTTAAAGATGAAAGGTTAGTGACTGCAGTCCATGTTTGAAGGTGACAATTTCCCTCTGTTTTTATACTCTAATATATAAGCAATGCATATTTTTAAAAATACAACTTATCAATAAGCAAAGAGACATGTAACTGAGTCGCTTAATTTTCCCACAGGGAAAGCACTGTCAAGCCTGCCCTCCAGGGTTTGGTATCACTGGTTTTCATACCGGACCCCATACCAGGTATGTCCCTTTCACAGCCATCACCGTGACCACCACTAACTTTAATAATTCTAAAAATCACAGATTATTTTATAAACAGTGTTGACTAAAAATTTTCATTATTTTATCAAATATATATTTTATACTTCAAAAGCTTGATAATAAATAAGGATATTACCTGTAATAAATTTGTTTTTGCTGCATTCTTTTGTTTATGTGGTAAAATTAATTTTGCTATTGTATATACACCATTTTCCTGGAAAAACAAAGGGGCCATGTTAACACTGCCCAGCGATGATGCCACAGAGATACACAGCATAAATAACCAACCAGACAACTTCCAAGCTTAATATTAAAGAAAAATTGTTGCTATAGTTCAGGAATTTCAAGTATATATTACAGAACAATACCAAAATGACAAGTTGTACTTTTATTTTTTTTTTATCTTTAACTTTTTTTTCACCAATTATAATCCTCAGTTTTATTTTTCCTTGCTTCTTTTTTTTTATTCACTTATTCACATGTGCATACATTGTTTGGGTCATTTCTCCCCCCTACCCCTTGCCCCCATCTTCTCCTCCCCACCCCACCCACTTCCAGGCAGAACCTGTTCTGCGCTTTTCTCCAGTTCCGTTGAAGAGTAGGAATAAGCAATAATATGAAAGACATAGCGTTTTTGCTAGTTGACTTAAGGATAGCTATGCAGAGAGATTCCTAGCATTGCTTCCATGTACAAATGTGTTACAACCCAGGTTGATTCATCTCTAACTGATCTTTACTCTGGTTCTCATGCTGACCTCTGTCACTTTAAGTTTCTGTATTAGTTCCTCTGGAGTGGGGACATCAAATGCTTTCATGTAATGTTGTACTTTTAAACACCAAAGACTACAACCATAATCTTCAATTTTCTACTGTCTATAAAGAGTTAAGATTATAATTAATAGTAAAGTATATAACTCTAAAGTGATTTTTTAAAAATGAAGAATGAGTGATTAAGAAGGGACAAAATGAAGGGATCCAAATGTCTTTACACTTCCAACTTTAAATACTTAAGTATGAAATATAATTTCTCCCTTTCTATTTTTCCTAATTAAATAATTCATAAAGATCAATCATTGTAAAATTGTTTTTATAAAAATAAAAGGAAGGCCAACCATAGTGGTTCATGCCTATAATCTCAGGTACTTGGAGGTGGAGATAGGGAGGATTACATTTGAGGCCAGTCTGGGTAAGAAAGTTAGTGAGATCCCATCTCAACCAACAGACTGAGTATGATAGTACATGTTTGTAATCCCAGTTGCACAGGAGGCACAAGTCAAAGGATTTTGATTGGGGGCTGACCCCCAGCAAAAATGAAAGACCCTATCCAAAAAAAAAAGTGTTGGAGGCATGGTGCAGGTGGTAGAGCACCTTGCCTAGCAGGGCAGTACTGCCAAAAATATATAAAATAAAGAAAAAATCTATTGTGATGACACATGCCAATAATCTCTGAGACAGGAGGATTTCAAGTTTGAGACCAGTCTGGACTATACAGTGAGACCTTGTCTCAAAAAACCAAGGACTGGGAATGTAGCTCAGAGGTAGAGTGCTTGCCTACCATGCACAAAGCCCTAGGTTCTGTCCCCAGCATCATCACAACAATAAAAAACCAAAGAAAGAATAACAGACGTTTTAAAAGCAAACAAAAGTTACCTGTAAAAACACAGCATCTTTCTAGACTTTTTCTAATAGAAATGTATACGTGAAGGAAAACCCAAAAACTATTAGGCTATTGCTACTTTGCTGCTGTCTACTAAATATGTCACTTACATGTGGCATTTGTATCACAAATACAGAGGGTTTTTTTATCTGTCTTACGGCAGCTAATCTTGATGGCTACTCTGAAAACCAAAACCATTTTATAATTTCCCTGATTTGTGCATGAGAAGCCAAAACTTAGGTTAAGTCATTTTTTTACAGGAGCCACACCAGCCTGTAATGACACCAGGAACCCCAATCTGGCCAGTCCAGCACCCTGCTCCACCACCTTCATTTGACGCACTGAGCTTCCCTTGGGAACTTAACCTGACACCTTGCTAACATGAATGCTGATGATGAAATTGAATCTATTGGGGTTGACCCCCAGAAACTTTCCTCTGTAATAAGTAGGAGGTAACTTTAACAACAGAAACATAAGCATACACAGGTATGTGTTTGTGTATATATGTCTGTTTATTTACTAACATTTATCTGTATATGTATATACACATAACTGTATATATAGTGAATTAATATGTGAGTTACATTTTGTGAAATCAGTTTCTTAGCAATAAATATTTTGTTTGGTTTTTCTCAACCACCCCTAACTGAATAAGCCTGCTGTATTCTTAGATGAAATGACTGTTGTCCTTAACCCCGAATTAAAGAAATTTAGAATAGTTTAAAAAAAAGGATAAAGAAAATGAAAAGGATCATATATAATATAGTGACATGTCAGTCTTCTTGAATCAAGTGAATTAAAGAAGGACAAAAATACAAAATAGCATTCTTTAAGGTAAATAAGAAATGTTAACATATTTTATTTTATTTTATTTTCATTTTTCTTTTATTATTCATATGTGCATACAAGGCTTGGTTCATTTCTCCCCCCTGCCCCCACCCCCTCCCTTA